AAAAAAAAAAGGTTATATCTTAATACGTGTGAATTACTTTAATTATGACCTCAATATAGCACACATGAATAAAATTAAATGAAACAAATATACACAAATTGATATATTAGGTAGGAATATTATTGAAAGAGATAGCCACAATGTAACTGCCTTCTAATAGTTAATTTGAGATCTCAAGAATATTACTTCAACCTCAAGCCATCCAGGCTGATTTTTATCTCTCAAACATCAAAAACAGTGTAAATATTAAAAAAATTCGTCATGTAGGGTTCTTTCCGTACGTGTGAATTTCGACATTTAATCAAAGTAATCCTTCTTATGGGTAAATGACCACTTTTACCCATTTCTTTAATCAAAGAAAGCAACCTTAATTTTGAAGAAGGGGAAATGTTGCCTTCTAGAAGTACTAGAAGAAAAGAAGAGACAACAAAAACCTAATCTTTATCAACGTGTAGAAATCGTTCATTTTTCTTGTGCACAAGAAAGTATCTCATGATGACAATTTTCGAGTCAAAAGTTTGTCATCCAAACTTGGAAAATTAAAGCTTAAATTGCTGTGCCCCAATTAATATTCGCTATTAAGGGTAGTCATGTCGTCTTCTTTTTTAAAATGGATAGAGTTAGGGTGGCAACGGTTCATTATCTTTTGAAAATGTAGATTGACGGAGAAAAATGTAGAGTGACGTATACAAAATTTGATATTTAATCATTTGACAACGGTTTACTTTTTTTTTTTCTTTTAAATTGGATTGAGAAGAGGGTTAAAAGACTACTTTTTATTTTATGGGTATTAGATATCTATTAAGTATCCATAAATGAATTAAATTTAGTCTAATCTACTAGTTAACTTTTATGTTTATTAGTGATTTATTCGGTTTAATATAGGAGCTTTATGTGTTCTACCTCCTACATCCTACATTGTTTTTTCCTACCTTATTTTTTCTTCCATTTATTATTTATTTCTATCTGTTAGGAATTGTGAAATTGTGAAAGGTTTCAAGGAGAGTGTTAAAAAGAGTAAGAACGGAGACAAAGTTTGAGAGAAAGAGGAAAAAGTCATGTAAGACATTTACAAACTTTAAAGGGTGGACTTTCAAAACGAGAGGAACTAAATTTCTTGGGCGGTCGGGAGAGAGATAATGAAAGAAAGAGAGAGAAAAGTGCTTATTCATATTATCTCTTCAATTTTTTTTGTCGGCTGAGGCTCAATAAATTCAGCCCCCACCAAATTATGCATGAGATAGAAATCTTTTAAATTCATTTGCTCAAGGATCCAATATTAGTTAAACGAGCAGTTTTTTCTTTCCCTCTCTCCTTTAATTCTGACGTCAAAATGACATATGGCTTACAGAGATAGAGATCATCTTTAATCTACTTCGAGTGTATATACTTTCAGGGAAGGATCGACACGTGTGACAATTTAGATCCCCTATAAAAATATTTATATTTGTAATTAAGGCATTGTCTTTGTTTATGGGAAGGAAAAAAAGCATACATTATGAGGTTAACACACAATATACGCATCCTAAGATTTACAAATTTTTCAATATTAACAATTGTTAAGATATCCCATTATGCATTTAAGTGAGTAATATTAAAAAAGAAAAAGAAAAATCCAGCAGAGATACAATAATTAGTCAGATCAATTATCAAGAAAGGGTTTGACATTATCCAAACAAGACAGAGAGCAGTGTACTAGAAAAAAAAAAAGAAAAAAAAAAGCCAAAGAGATATACCTAAAATATTGCAGAAGCCATTGGAAGAGATTTTAGCTGTTATTGATCGGACAAAACATGAATGTTCACATTGCCCAGTTTTGTTTGATGTTCTACTCGCCCGAATTTCGCACCCCACCTGCATGTTTTCTATGTTTGTATTCACATCTCCATTTTTCAGTTTATGAAGATTTATTTTTTCCATCTTTTTAATTGGAATTGACATTTTAGCTCTCTATGGTTATATATCTTATACAAATTAGAGAATATACAAAAATTGTCTCCCTTGCCTGATGTAGGTAAGGTTCTACTTTTTTTCGAGAATTAATTTAAATTCACCTTTCAAGTTTACCGCTACTATCTTTTAAAAGACACTCAGTATAATATTTTTTTGGTTTCTTCTCCGATTGTTTAACCACCACACAATTTATTGACTTTATTTATTGGAGTAGCTTTAACAAACACTGCAATGATTTAAGTTTGAAATTCTACCATACATTTTTCTTTTTTATGAGTAACTTAGCAACAAAACATTTACATAACTTCGATTGATATAATAAGAGATTATTAACTATTTAATACATTTAACATACTAGCTCCATTTTTAGACCTAACTTTCCATCCAATATTTGGTAGGACTATCACAACTTTAGAACAAAATCATAAAATACATCATTAATAAGAAAAGAGGGTTATGTGATGAAACTGTAGAGAGTGATGCATGCTAAAATAAAATTAAATGTAAGTAAGAATAATTCCAAACTATGCTGTTCTAAGTGCCATTTGTCAAAAACGGAATCAATCAATTACAAATTTAATTTCATGAACTTCTAATTTTTGTTTTACCATTAATTCGAGCTAATGGAGGAGAAATTAATAGAAGACTTGGACAGAGAACGAAACGACATCCTAGTTCAACTGGTGCACCACATGATTAACAAATCATATATTGATGGTACTTTTTGAGGAAAAAAAAATGATTGGTGAATTAGATTAGTCAATGATGGTGCAGTTTCCTAGGAAATTACAGTAATTGCTCTTTTTCCCGTGGGATAAATTATGAAAGTCAAAAAGTTTTATTTTTATTTTTATTTTTACTTATGTGTATTGTATTTCAAACTTCAAACTGGATAAGGCAGTCGATGGGTTGACGGGTCAACCCGTTACCGTCAAAAGAGATAACCGGGGCCGACTTTGTGTTACTGAGACCACGTGTCCGAATATTGCTGACGGAGGATCCATTAGGTTGGGGTTTGACTACGGAAGCATTAAATATAAAATCACAAGAGCCATGCCATGATTGTCAATAAAAGCATTAATCCCCTTCCCATGTGGTCCCCACGAGTAACCACTATGTTCCCGACACGTAGTCTTGGACCCTTCCCAAAATTATGAAAATCAAAATTATGGTAATCCCCATCCCATTCCCATGCATGATTAATATAATATAATAATAACACCACTTTTACTATAAATATGAGGTGGAACAGACAGCTGGCCAAACTGCTGTGGATCTAACACGTGTTACCACCTCTTCCTTTCAACCACCGCCAACTCCCGCGCTGTCTCGTCGCCGGAATCTTGGGTTTTGCTCTCTCTCTCTCTCTCTCTAAGTTTCTTCCATCCATCGGTTTTTCTTTTCGTTTGTTAAAAAGTTTATCTCCCACAACAAAGGGGTCATACATAAAGGGGTGACAACATCTAAAATTATACGAACATATATTTTAAAATATACCATATTATATCATTGTAAAATGCAGGGAATATCATATCTAAAAAAAGAAAAAGAATCACTTATATATTTGATTCTGTTAATAGAAAAGGAATTGTATATCACGAGGTAACGGCCGTACGTCGAAGTCAATGAATAATGCCGCCATAATTGTCAAACCCATTTGACGTAAATCGAGTTTGTGGTAGTATTTGCTTTTGTTTCTGTGATGAATTCGTAATTATATACACTTACATCATATGATTTTAACTTTTTTTTCATCGAAAATAAAATTTCATTATTTTGCATGAAAGTCGTATCTTTCTCATTTCTACGTTCTTGTAACAAAATTATAGAAAATAAAGTAATTTTTTTCAATATAACTCGCCCTACTTTTCGGTATTCCAAAATCTCTAGCGCATAAAACCATCCAACAAATTAATTTTCAAAGAAAAACACTGACTTGATCTTTTATTTTTGATGTGCTGTAATTTTAATAACTCGACATTTTTCATGAAATTGACCCAATAAAAAAAGAGAAATAAAATCTGATTTTTCAACTTACGAGGAAACTGAAGTCTTGTTAAATGTCCATGCACAAACAAGAAAACTAAAGAGAAGAAAAGAAAGACACAAAATTAAATTCCGCGGATTTATTTGATTTTCTACCGTATATTACACATTACATGAATCCTTCATTAAAGATATCTGAAATTTCGAAATCCAACATCTGGCTGCAATAACTCTCTCTCTCGTCTTCGGTAGCACTGGTGAAATATGTGGAAGAGTTGGAATTCATCTGGGTAGGGCTTGACGAAGAAGGAGAAGATAAAACCGAAGCCAAACTAAAGTTCTGGTTATTGTTGCMGTTGTGGGAACCAAACGTCGTCGTTTCGTATGAATGATCCAGTCCACAATAATCAAAACTCGGCAAATGATCAACAAAATCACATTCTTGGCTTAAATTTGATGGCAAAATCGAACCACTTTGCCATTGATCATTTAATTCGCTTCCAATTGGCTCCACCAGCTGCGTCGTTGCTTCCTCGGGATATTGAACAATTTCTTGCAAATTAGGAACTTGCATAATTTGCTGTAGCTGAGGACGAGAAAATTGAATGGCGTGCGATGAATTTTGAGGGGAAAAGCTTGGACTTTTACGTTGATCAGAAGACATTAATGAGGCGGCCAACTTAAGAAGCTCGGGATTGACCAAAGGCTGCACTCCCAGCAAGTTTGAAAGGTTCATTTGTGAAGAGTTGTAGAGAGTGGAGCGTAAAATTGAGGACAAGTCCAGAAGATCAAGGCGTGGGCTGTGTGTCACTGGGTCAATTCCCATTCGTAGAAGCCTCTTTCTTATGTGCGTGTTCCAATAGTTCTTTATTTCGTTGTCGGTTCTTCCTGGTAATTGAGTCGCAATTGCAGACCACCTGCATAAACAAAACAAAACCCATGTTACAAAATGAGCCAAAATTGAATCTTTGGAACAAAATTCACAAGCTTGGTGAACTTAAATCTAGACTTACTTGTTGCCCAAAACACTGTGGAGTTGAATGATGGTTTCTTCCTCCTCAAATGAAAATCTCCCTCGTTTGATATCAGGCCTCAGATAATTAGTCCACCGCAAACGACAACTCTTCCCACATCTTTGGAGCCCTAAAAATTCCAAATAAAATCAAAAAGAAAACAAAAAGATTTAGTTTTCTTTAGAAGCATCATGATAAAAAGTGAGTTGTAGAGCGTATGGTACCTGCATTCTTGGGAAGAGTCCTCCAATTTCCATGTCCATTTTTCTGAATATAATCCATGAGTTTCTGATCTTCTTCAGGCGTCCATGGGCCTTTCTTGAGCCCATTTTTATCACAGCAAGGTGTTCTTCCCATGGGGTATATTCAAACAAAACAACAATGGCCCTGCAGAAAATTATGGTCCCAGTTTATATGTACAAGTACAACTACGAATTTGGCTTCACTTTCAGCTACAGAAAGTGGAAAAATGATGAATCAGAGAGAGAGAGAAGAGACATGGGGTCCTATTGGGAAAGACCTGTATATATAGACAAAACCAAAGAGATTAATTAATTAATTAATTAGGGAAATTAAAAGTTTTATGGCAAATTAGTCTGATGGATTTGGTGGCCGTCCTTTGTTAATCACCATGAAGACGTGTCCTCTCTTTTTGGAGGCCATCCCAATCCCACTCTCAATAATCTCTCTCAAGTCTCCTCTCGCCCCTTTACAGCGCTGCTGATTATTTATTACTCGCTCGCACGTGTCTATCAATTTAATTTTCCCCTTTACATCTGTGTAAATATTTTCATGTTTAAAAATAATATTTTTACTCCTTGTACTCCTATTAAAGTAATAATTTAGTTTTTATACTTCTTAATTTGTAATAATTTAGTTCTCGAATTTTAATATGTAACAATTTAGTCGTCGTATAGTTTAAAGTTCCTAATTATTTTGTCTCTATCTTAAATTTTATGTGAAGTTTCTTATATATATATATAGAGATCGATAAATCGATATGTTTATAAATTACAAATACTAAATTGTTATGGCATAAAAATCGATATTTAATTTTGATAAGATTTTTTGTGGTAGGAACTAAATTATTGTAAATTTTAAACTACGAAAGTTAAATTGTTCAATAATAAAATTTAAGAACTAAATTGTTACCAATTTAAAAATATAAGGACTAAATTGCTACAAAATAAAGTTAAATCGTTCCTTTAGTGAAAGTTCAGGAACTAAATCATTACTGTAATATTGTTTGTTTAACTTATTTTTATTCACTTTCATGGTAATCTTAAATTTTGAGGGCTTAGATTGAAAGTAATTTAGAAGAACAATTTTTTTTTTCCTTTTTACCATCCTGATCTTATCCCGTTTAAATTGGGGCCCCAGCATATTATAAACCATATAAATTTTTACCATACCTACTCTCTCTATGAGTTTCTTAGATTGAAAAACTGAGAACACAATTTTGCTTTATTTGGCTAATTATTTGGTAGATTAGTTGTAGTGTCATTAAGTTTAATCAACATTTATTCTTTCTTAAAAAAAAAAAAAACATAACAGAGCTCAGATGAGAAAGTAAGTTAGGGGAGGAAGAATAGGCAATGTCGAGCCAAGAAAAGAGAAAACATGAAAATGAGAACTTTTTTTTTTCTTTTCATGTTCGTTGTTTTCTTCAATGGCTTATTGGTATTTGAATGTATTTCTGTATTAAAAATAAATAAATAACTTGCACATTATCACCTCAACTAATTTCTCAATTTTTTAAAAATTGAAATATATAATTTATTGTTGAAAATAAATATGTCAATAGAACAAAAATAAAATGGACTAATTCATATTTATTTAATTTTAAAAAGAATATGTGAAAAATTATCAAATGTATATATTAAAACTCAAAACTCAAAACATTGCAATGACTGGAATGAAGAAAGAAAAACACATAATAAATGGGCAAGAAAAGTACTCATCATATTCATATATTTTTACACACGGGACAAAGGAAAAAATTATTCATTATATATTGTAACTTGCCAATTTAACAAATCATATTGAAAAATGAGTATAGAAATTGAAAATATTTCCCTCCCTGCTCATCTTAATTTTACAATTAATACATAGCCGCTCCACAGATAACTTTGACCATCCTGTTTATTTTATTTGAGATAATAATCTGATGACAAGAATTTATCTTAGTTGACCATCGTTAAATATTTGATAATTAATAAAGATAAATATACAAATAGATAATTGTTATAAAATATAATGAGTTGTTAGATAACCAATTCAAATATATCTCAAAGATTGAAGACATAAACTTAAGTCGTGAGTTCAAATTTCCATGACAGCAAAATATTGTATTTTCCTTTAATTTGGAGGGAGAAGTCCCGGATTCGTGGATTACCAACAGCTGTAACCAACAAAAAGAAGCCACGTAGTCGTCGCTTTTCTACATCGTGTGACTGTAGTGTAGCACTCTATCCCCACGGTCACAGGCCAACCATTATTCATTAATTGGTTTGACTAAAGATATTTTATTATATATTTTTGGTGAATTGACAATTTGATCCCTCTCCCACAAATTCTAGAGCCCAGACGTCATATTTTGCCGTATTATATTCTTCACTAACCCAACGTTCGAATTGGTCATTTTCTTATAATGCAATAATCAATGGAGAAACATTTATTGCTCAAAAGAGTTGGGTGTTTGCCGAAATTTAGGAGCATTTACTATCACAACCAATTAATATTTGGGTTTCTTCATTAATTTCAAGATAAGCATTTTGACGTACAAAAATTATTAATAAGTAACAAGATTGTTAATTTTATTATTGTTTTTTCTTTCTTATCATAACTGTTGAACATATTTTCTAATGATTAATTTCGCTATAGATTTGAAATTTTAAAATAAAATAATAACACCACTTCCAATTTCACTATTAAAACTTTTCTTTTTGTCTTTTAACCTCTCTTACTTATTATCACACAAAGGATAGACCTTTGAAAAAACCAATCAAGAAGATATTGACAGGAAAGGTACTAATTTCCACGATGGCTTTATACGAAAGCTATTTAGAGTTAATTATTAAAATTATAGCTACCCTAAAATGTTCCACATGCAGGAGACATTCATTTTATTAATTAATAGACCTACAATATACTTAATTCATAAATAAATAAGCCCTAATCCCATTCAAGTTTTATCTAATCAAGAAAGGAAGATTGTTTACTTAAAAAATCAATGATATATGTTGTTTAAATTATTATATGCTTAGGTTTTATGAAAGAATTACCTAAAGAAGCAGCCTACGTGTCAAGATTGATTGCCCAAAATTAATTAAAAATTTTGATAGATGCCATTAGAAAGATTTTCTACTTTCTAATTTGAGTAGTAGTTCAAATTTTCTCACCAAACTTAATATAAAATAGTTATTATTATTTATTATAAAGTGGTGACTGGCCTATAATTCTAGCTGAATCTTACAAGTTACATATTTTAATGCTAGAATCAGATATCAGATCCATGGGTTGTGTGGTGAGCGTTTAATAGTGTTATTTAAAATGATCTTACTCATTTTATTTTTTATATTAAAAGGAAAAAAAAAAGAAGAAAAAAGAACAAAGTTGCATCTCAACAACTAGACAAGCATATCTTCTTATGGCTACTGGAAACTAGAAAGGTTTTCCTTCTTTTAAATAAGGTTATTATTTATTAGTTGAGGTGTAAAGTGTAAATTAATTATTTCTGTGTATATATAAATAAGTAAAATGTACTATATTTTAAATTTAGAAATAGCAATAGCATGATTGATGCATTAATTCTCTTAAGTGCAACGATTTATAAAAATGTAGATTAGTACATTGTCTAGTGGGTAATATAGTGTTTTCTGCTCCTATATATCTAAAACATTTCACCTAAAATGGGGAGTCCATGGGTATCTGATTTCATTTTCTTGATGTGAAAGATATAAATTAATTGCTCAGTGAAAGTATAAATGGTACTCCAATAAATAAATAAAAAAAAGAATCAATAAATTACATACTAATAATTTTATAATTATTGTAAAATTTATATAATTTTTAAATGTATTTTAAATACTTACCAACCTAATCTTACCTTAACTAGGTAAGATAAATATCTTCAATTAAAAGATCCTAAATTCGGGTCTTACTCACTTATTGTTTAATAATAAAATTAAAAAAAAAAAACATTTCAACCACTCCCTGATATTATAGAGAACCCATCATGAATGCATCTAAAAATGGAGGAGGCCCAATACGTGGCCCATATTGTAGTGGTTCAGTTCAATTCTGGCCCGTTTATTGGTCCTCCTCCTCAGTCCCCAGATATCTCCCAAACAAATACCACTTCACTTGTTTTATTCCTTTTCTTTCTTTCTCTTTCACTTCACAATTGAGATTTGAAAATACTTGCCTCTTTAACCATGTGCTCATCATTAAATATTTGTTATTTAATAATTAAGAGAAAAAAATGTAAAAACATAAACTTTATTTAAATAATAAAAAATTGTCAAATATTTAGTGGTGAAGAAGGCAAGGCTCCTTCTCAACGAGTATTTTCTGGTTTAGAAAACGATAAACTTTTTAGTGGTAAAATTTTCACTAGTGAAATAATAACAACAACAATAACCATGGTGATACTCATATAACATAATGAAATAATATATTTTATAACACATGATCTTTTTTTTTATATTTGAAAAATCACCCTACATTTTCTATCAATTAATCCAAACTATATCAATAGATTTAATTTTATTACTTCCAATATTTGAAATCCCATTTCATTTAAAGTCTTATTTTTCTTGCAAAACTATACTTATCACACAGACAACATATTGCTCAAATTATTAAATTTAGAGATGACATTCAAATGCATCATGATTAAATAGTATTTAATTGACCACAAATTAGGATTGCTATGAATATCAATCATTATACAAATGAAAATGATCGATTAGGACAAGAATTCATCAGGCTGCAAAGCACTCCCTTAGTCCGTTGGACAAATGAGCGCTCCATTTGGATTGGATCAACATTAATTATAAGATAACAACAATCCGATGATTCTGATCTGACACAACACCCAACACACAAAACGAATCGTTTAAGTTTGATTTCACAATAAATTAATGAATCCAAGATTATTGTATTGGGCCGGAAGGAATCCGAATGACAAAACGGAGGCATCCGAAATGAGTGACATGGCGACCCCACTTGTCCTTATCCACATCGTTTTCGAATAAGCAACACGTGTCCACTATGTACAGAAGCGGGGCCCACCACCAGCCCCTAGTTTTTCATCGAAAAGTCCGCCGATTAAAACAAATCCTACGCCCACCGCCGGTTGTTTCCTCTCTCAACTCACTCTTACAAGTACAAACTACAAACCATCGGCTCTGGGCTCTGCTTCTGAAGTTGCTTTTTTCTGTTTCTTCCCATAAAATTTCCGAATCTCGCAGCCATTTTTTTTTTTCCTTTTCAAAATTTTGATCTGTAGTGTAGATGAGCAGGAGAATTTATAACTACAAGGCGGAGATGGGTGGAATGAAGGATCAGACGGCGAAGCGTGAAGCGATGTTGAAGGGGGCGAGAGATCATGATACCATGGCTGTGGATTCGAGTGCGGGAATTGCGGCTAAGGCTGAGAAACTCAAGCGGGCCGAGGAGTCTCTAAGAACGGTTATGTACTTGAGCTGCTGGGGCCCTAACTAAACGTCGTCGTTTCATTTCCTATCCATTATCCAACCAATTGTGGCGGACTGGAACTCGGCGCGGCTACTACGCTAGACCGACGTCGTTTCAAATGTATGTACAAGTACAATGTAAATATTTTGATGCTGACCTTGGTAAATAAAATTCTCTTGTATAGTTGCTGTAATGAGTGGCATGACATGTTTGGAAATTGGTGTACCTTAAAACTTTTTCTTTTAATTATGTATCAATACCAAGGCCTTCAACCACTAAAAATACAGTAATTCTCAATTACCTATGCTGATTGCTGATCGTCTTTAACCATAAATCATGATAACAATAATTAAAATAAAAATCCATCTCTCATCAACATTACTCATATGAAAGGAGTAGGTATAGAGATTTCAACTATTTAACTTTTAAATAAGTTATTAATGTCTTAATTAGTAATGTATAATTGTATTATATTAACACCAAAGAAAAAAGGAAAAAAAAAAAAAAAGGAAGCTCCATGAGGTAGGTAGAGTCAAAAATGATAGGTTAAATTTGCTCCATCACAAGTTGTGAGAAGTAACATTGTCAGTGAACACAAAACTCGCTGGTCCCTACTAAAACTATTATTATGTTAAATTTTTATTGTATTTTTTTGCTCTTTCTCGTCAATATATAGATATACTTCTCAACAAAAGTTAAAATATAGGGAGTTAATAAATTTATAATTTAATTTTAAATAAAAGGTTAAATTAAAATCTATAATACATAATATATATCTAATAACTAATACTTTAAATATCGATCTCGATAGAAATGTCTATAAAAAAAATCATTATCAATAAATATTTCTAACATAATTATATAAATTTATAGAATAATATTTAAATTAGAAAATAAATATCTTACATTTTTAATTGGTTAAAGAATCTTATTATTAATATTATCTTCACGTAAAAGATATTTTGTTAAATCTTTTATAATATTAAAATATGGATATTATTATTTATGTCAATATGCAATCTAAAATACCTATAAATATTGATGAAAATGTCTAGAGATAGAAAATTTAAAACAGGCGATAACATATTTTTATAAATTAATGTAAGGCTAAACTATAATGTTGGGATCATTTTTTCTTAAATATTACTAATTTTAAAATTTATTTAAACTATTGTAACTTTAAAACTTAAATGCTTCAAAAAAAAATCTTCGACTCTCCATACATCTAGCGCTGCAGGTTTTTTTTTCTTATTTTTTTTTAAAATTACAATCTATGAGGATAAATGATTGAACTCACAACCTCTTCATTTGATATATATGTCAATTACTACTGAGCTATGCTAGTTTTCACCACTCTTTTAGAAGAAAATAAATTTTAAATTAAATCTAACAAATTGTCAAACCTTAAAACAAACAAATTATAAAAATGGATTAAACTGTCAATATTTAAATTAAACCAAGACTTTAAAAAAATCACGTCAAATGGTAGTTTGGATTTTAGCTGGTTTTCAAACACTTCCTTCCACTTGTTCTATGGCATTTTGTCCAATCGAACAAAATCCTGAGTCATTAGTTTTCAACTCGTCAATCACTCATAACTCATTTTCCCCCAACCTCACCGATCTCTCCTTCTTTCACTGCTTTGAGAGCTGCAGAGCAACAACTTTGGAGATTCATCGTATTTTATTCTTACGATTTCTGGACTTGAATTCCAATAGCCTTTCTCATCTTTTAACCGCTATTCTCTACTTCATTCCATTATTATTTACGAGAACAAATTTCATGGTACTTATCTAATCTTTTTGCGTTAGATTTAGTTTAAACTTTAATGTTTAATTAATTAAATTGATTTTTTCAAAGATTTTTGTTAGATTTTTTTTTCAATGGGTTGTTAGATTTTTTAATTAGATTGAGTTTAAAGTTTGTTTATAAAAAAAAAATATCTTGAAAGACTGCTTATAGGTAGGACATAGAAGTTTTTTTTCTCCTTTCTTTTTTAAAGAACCATTGTAGAAGGGACGACCAATTTAAGAAAATGAGTTACAACTTATGACTTGAACTAGGTCATCAATTTAGTGGTGGAAGAACTTTTTAAGCATTATTTTTCAAAATAAATCTGATAGTTATAATATTTTTAAAAAAATAATATTAGTAATATTAGGAAAAAAAACTGATTTTGTGTAAATGACGTTACTGTCGGAAAACAAGAAGTTTCGTGCAAAGCATCTGATTAATTTCCGACAAATACTGAAATACACCGTCCTTCCATTCCTCGTCCAAAAAAAAAAAATAATAAAATAAGAAGAAGGCGCCAATGGTAAAGGGTAGAAACCAGGGATTTTATGAATGGTTTTTTATTTATTTATGTTATTAGAAACCAGAGGATAAATGGGAATATTCAATTTAAATTTCTTTAAAGTAGTCCATGTCCAAGCGAAGGCAAGGAGACACCAAACTGCCTCTTTACAGCAAATAACTGCATGGAAATTGGAATGGATAATCCACTTGGTTGCCCAAATTTCATGAGATGGATATCCCTATTCCTTTCATCCTTGTACTAAAAAAAAGTTAGCTAAAGAGTGGAGTGGACTGTCCCTCTCTTTAAAATGGGCTTACAGCCCATATAAACTTGCGGCTGGGTCATTGCCCATTTGGGCCGGGGAGAGAATTTAGGGTAGGAAAAAGGAGGCAATAAATGAGGAAAAAGAGGGTCGAAGACTTGAAGTAGGTGGAGGCAAAATTTAGGGAGAATGGAAGAAGTTGCGGTGAGTGTGAGTGTGAGTGTGAGTGTGAGACAACAACAAGAAATGGATTCCACATGATATGGATGTTGATGATAAGAATTGATTTCATCCAATGAATTTTGAAAACTTATATTTGACCAAAAAAAAAAAAAATTTGAATGGATTAATTGATCTAAAAGGACCAAGGTAGATCAAAAGGATTTAGAATGAATTAATGGTTAAAATCCATGATGGCCACCTATCTATAAAAAAACAATCAAATATAGTAGCGTAAGATGATTGTTCCATGAAATTAGTTGAGATGCACACAAACTGGTATGAAAATTCCAAATACCATAGGTCGTGCTCATGCTCATCTCATTTGCTTGTCTTCATACCAAAACCGTGATCTCCATTTCCTTTTCTTTCCCATTCCAACTCTACTTTTACTTTTTTCCTCAATTATATCTTTATGCATTAAACACCACCCATATCCACATTCAACTCCTTTTTTTTAACCTTTTTTTTTTCTTTTTAACAACTATCTAATTAATATGCAGCAACTTCAATCCATATGTATGCTATTGAGATAATCATAAATTATACAATAAAATGGTATTTTCAATGACTCTGGAATATTCCATTGTGTAATATTTAATTGAACATGAACATCATCAACTTCTAATATACTCATAAAAATGTGGTCAATTAATTGAGATATATAGGGTTGAAAGTAATAAGCAAAGTTGCTTTCAAACCAAATAAAATGAATATGGATACCTCTAGCTTGAGGCCTTTTTTTTTTCTCCTTTGGTACTCATTACCTTCCTCTTTTTGGGCGTGGGAGTGTTACATAATGGGATTTGACACCCAATTCCTAATACCTTTCATTTTACAAACCCACTGACTCATCAAATGAAAAATGAAATTGCACATTTGTCCTTGCAATAAAAAGTCAATCACATTCTCTACCTTTCATCATAGGATATACCAATTATTGATTCATATTTAAAATCAACTTCCAACATTTAACTTAATTACACAATCTAAATTTCATTGACAAATTGATGTTGATATGTGAAGTTCATAGTATGGATCTTGCCTTTTAAAAAAAAAAAAAATTACATCTCGAAGTGTGCGAAATAATTTAAAGTAACTATTTTACGCATATCTTCCACCTTTGCCCATTTCAACCCCTCCTCTATTTGGGAAATCCTCCTCCGATACAAACCTTGACCAATACCAATGTGTCTTCCACACCTTACTCATCTCTTCAATTGGAATGCCCTTGGTCTCGGGCAAGAAGAACGCAATGAAGATGGACATGATCAGAACAAAGAAGGCAAAGAAAATGAATAGTCCGAACTTCATATGACAGAGCATGGTCAAGAAGACTTGAGCAATGACGAATGTGAAGAACATATTAACTGAAACGTTTATACTTTGAGCAGCTGAACGAATCTCTAATGGAAAGATTTCACTCGGCACAAGCCAACCTAGAGGTCCCCACGACCACGCGAAGCCTGCCACGTATATGCAGATGAACAGCACCACCACAATGGCGTACCATTTGGGCAACGTGTCTGGGTTCCCATCCACTCCAAATTTTGCACCAATTGCCGCTGCCACAACCGCCTGCACGACATGACATTCAATTTTCACATCTCTTAAAATGGATTAGCAAAGAAATCAAATCCTTTGCAAATGGACATAACATTGTTTTATTGAGATGTTATACCTGACATATCAACATTTGAACTCCACCCTCAAGGAAAAGAAACCTCCTTCCCCATTTATCGACACCGTAAATCGAAACGATGGTTGCAGCAACGTTAACGATACCAGTGATTACAGCAGACATAAGTGCGGCGTCGCTTCCAAAGCCAATGGTGTCAAATAGAACGGGTGCATAGAACATGATGACATTAATGCCAGTGAGCTGCTGGAAGAAGGGAATCAAGATGGCCATGGAGAGGTGAGGCCTGTATTTCCTTTGCAAGAGGTTACTCCATGGATTCTGCACTTGCTTTGATGCTTCACTGGCTGCAACAAGGTCATTGAACTCTTCATCAATGTCATCAATTCCACGGATTCTTTTGAGTTGACGCTGAGCCTTGTCGCGGCTGCCTCGCTCGATCATCGAGTTCGGAGTGTCCGGGAGGACCAAGGACCCAACTGTGATTATAAGAGCTGGAACCATGGCACCCCCCAAACTCAAGCGCCATCCCCAGCCCCCTTTAATCTTTGCAAAGAAAAAGTTCAACACATTGGCTATCAGAATCCCAATTGTGATTGATAACTGGAAACCAATGTTGAGGGCACCTCTGTATTTGTAGGGAGCCATCTCAGAGAGATAGAGAGGCACAGACTGTAACAAAAAAAAGACAATCAAATTACAGCAAATTAAACTCCAAAGTTCGCAATTCAAACTATTTGACAAGTCAAAGTTTTGCACACTAAGAAATTTGAGCAAGAAAATGTTGTGATTGGGAAGTGGGACCACGCATTATGCACATAAAAGAAAAATAAATAATTGAATTGAATCAGGGTAAGAAAAGACAGGACATGTGATGTTGGGAAAATGGGCCGCTATCAAATTGCAATATTCATAGTCAAAGCTTGCTGCAACAAAAGAGTAAACGGTGGGGGGGAAAGGCACATGCCGAGGAAATTATGGCTTGCAGAGAAAAATAAATAAATAAAGGAATCCCAATTTTGATATTTGATTATGACATTTAAACAAAAAAATATTAAGCGAAAAAGAAGTCCAACTTGTGTTTGTCCAATTGTTTCGTCTCCCTCGTTTTCTGGCTGTTTAATAAGAAATATAAAATCATTGGCTTTCCCCAGCAACCAAACGGTGGTTATTCTTATTGGTGGCTATGTCCAAAATCAAACTCGTAAAGAAAAGAGGTAAAATACTAAACTTATCATTCATTTCCTAAAACTGGTTAATAGGAAGACTCTGTTCTTTTGGTGCCTAAGTATTGTTCATCATAGATGGATCATCATTTTTTTTTGTTGACCACCCCTAAAATATTTTGTAAGTAGAAAAAAGAAATATGAAAAAATAAGATATGTTTTCTAATTTTAAAAAAATTAATAAATTTTCAAATTTTTAGTACTCATCACGAGAAGGTTGATACCTTGTTTATTACAAAGAAAAAAAATAATACTAAATACCAATGAGTCTAACACTCATATTTACTTAAATATAAGAGAGAGTACCTAATTATTTTTTTATTAAATTTATTATTGGTTTTTATAATTAGAACACTAAAATAATATAGATATAAATATCTCTACGATAATATGATATTTTCTACTTAAGTCAAAATTTTAAACTAAAAAAGTTTTCATTCCTTTGCCTTTTGCCTTTGTCTAACAGGACTTCCCTTGCATATTCGTTACAAGTCCAGGGAGACCATGAACGAGAAAGTGGTACCTGATTGGCAAAGCCGATGCCAAATCCGAGTAAAATACGGCCGAGAATGAGCATCCAAACGGCCTTGGCGGCCCCATTGATGATAGCACCGGCGCAAAACAGGACACCGCCGAAAAACATGGACAATTTCCGGCCAAATTTCCTGGTGACGGTGGAGGCGACCAGCGAGGCCAGAAGCGCGGCCAAGTAAAGAGACGACGTGAACAAGGTCAGCGTCTCACTGTCGTACTGACAGTACTGATTCGTCGTAGCGTTCTCGTGCTTCTTCCTGAACACCGACGGGAAGAATTTCCTCAAGAACGAGTCCATCGAAGTTACCCCACCTACCCACACCAAAAACAAAACCCCATAAATATTTCAAAACAAATTTTACATTGTGGCCGGCCGAGATCTGAGTATTAAGTAAACAAATAAACGGGTACCTGAAATTCCGATATCGTAACCGAAGATGAGTCCGCCCATGGCCGCCACGATACACGTAACGGTGACATAAAGAGTAAGATTTCCGGGGTACTCCTTGTTGGTACCGCCGGTGGCAAATCCCACTGCTGGCATTTTCTTCGACCCAGGACAAGGCTGATGATATGACAAAAGAGGGTGAGAGAGAAATTAGCCTTACAAGAAGGAGGAGGGAGAGAAAGAGAGTCGCCATAGACGTGGACATAGAAAATGTATTTATAGAGAACAGGGGCTTTGAAAACAAAGAACAGCCATGGGGCATTAAATTAATGATTAACGTCACCATTATCACTAAACATTTTCTTTAAAAGACAAAAGAGAGAAATTAAAATATATATATATATATATATATATTATTGAATTCAAACATGGACATGCGAGATGAGGACAGATAGGTCTTCTAATTCAAGCTCAATTTCCATATCCCCGTTTACATTGACAATAACAATATCGTAGACTAAGATCGATCAAATTTTACGTTATATGACTTTTGTTTATAAAGATAGATAGGGCATGGGATAAGGAGAAAAAAGAATTAAAATAGTAATTTGAGAATTGAGATATGATGGGTCACACATAATTAAGTATTAAGCATGACACCGTAATAAATGCTGTGGATAAGATCGTGAAATTACAGCCTTTAGTTTCCAATACCAATTCGTAACAGCTGCAAGTTGGGCCGGGGTGGACTGGAATTAGCGCGTCAACAAAACAAAAGTAAAATAAATGAGAAATGCACTGAATTTCCACAACCAAACATCATTACATCCTTCAAATTTCTTCCCCGTTGACGCAATGCTTCATAATTAATTAATTTTTTCAGAAATATCATATAATGTACCTGGAAGTCAAAGAAAGACACTTGAAATTTTCTCCTTTTTTACTTGGAAAATCCATTACACAACGGATGCCGGATGGGGGCGTGCAGTAGAATTATTCCAAAACTTCAAAAACATGGTTCCAAAGCACACATTAATGGTGTGTTGTTATTGAAAATTATTTGGATTTTCCAGAGAGTGAAGAGAGGAGTTTTTTTTTTATGTGGTGTCCACGTCTATGTTCCGGTGGTTGCGGAATAAAGACAAGACAGCCACAATTACAAAAGAAAGAAAAATATCTTTACTTTTATCTTTGTAATTTAACGTAGAAATAAAAACAAACACCCTACAAAATTAAACCTGTCCTACGCCA